GACGTGACCTTCCTGGGAGAGCCGTCGTCTTGCGCGGCTGCTTTTAATCACTTCACGGGCCGCTTAGCAGAAATCGGGCTCAGCCACAATCCTGCCAAATGCGGGGCGTGGGCAGGCAGGACGCCCACGGACTACCGCCTTCGTGAGGGAGTTCCTCCCAGCAGCGACGGGTTGAAGGTGCTGGGTAGCTACATTGGCACCTCCACTGCAACCACTGCCTTCGTACGGTCCAGCATGGAGGCGATGGGCACACCGCTGGGATTGATTGAGCGGATGGAGCCGCAGGTGGCGGGACTGCTGTTTTGTTGGTGTATCTCTCTCGTCGAGTGTCATACTTAGCCCGCACAACTCCACTACCTTTCCTGCCAAAAGAGGAGTGGTCTGAATGGGGACGGAGGCTGCTGGAAACACTCCTTACAGCATGCGGCATTAACCACCCGCGTGGGGACGAGGAGACTTCATGCACGTGGGTGCAAGCCTCGCTCCCCATGTCGCTCGGTGGCCTTGGGTTGACGGACCCTTCAGTAGAGGGGAGGCTACAGCTTCCTCGCCAGCTACATGTAGGCGCAGCTGCTGCTTGACTCCCTGGACAGCGACTGCACCGACCCATTAGAAGTCACGCGTGAACTGATGCGCGGCCCCTACACCGAGTCCTCCCTCTTGGCCGAATGGCTTGCTGAATGCGAAGGGGAACTTCCACTCCAAGCCCAAGAAGCTCTTCAGGCTGAGAGATCGGCTCCAACTGCAGGGAAACTGCAACACGGGTTGGCCACGGCTATCCAGGGCCAGCGCTATGCCGTGTAGGTGGAGGAGGTGCGTGGGATGAGCCCGAACCCCAACAACGGTCACACACAACGAATGCTGTCCCTGACACGGTATGGGGCAGGGGATTGGTTAAACACAGTGCCCATCCACTCCTCGCTCCGCCTTGAGGCTCCCCACTATGCCAACGCGCTCCAGTTTTGGCTGGGGCTCCCCTTTGCGGCTCCCGGGGTTTGCAACTGCTCAAAGAAGGTGGAGATCCCAGATAAGCGGCTGCCGAATCATCTGCTACGATGCGGAACAGGGGGGGGGGGGGGGGGGGGGGGGCGCACAATGAACTTAGAGATGAGTGCGCACGGATGGCGCAAGATGCCGGCTTCATGGTGCATATCGAGACGGCCGCCTTCAGCCCAGTGGAGGAGAAGAAGGCAGACGTGGCCTTACGCTGCCACTCCATGGGTGCCGTTTACATATGTGATGTGACGGTAACAGATCCCATCAGCACCCGTGATGAGAACGCCACCAAGGGGAGGGGGTGGGCAGCACGGGAGGCGGCAGACAAGAAACACGGCCTTTACAAGGACCGCCCAGAGTGGGTGAAGTTTTTCCCACTTGCGGTCGAGACAATGGGTGCCCATGCCTTGAGTCAGTGGACTTCCTAAAAATCCTTGCAGAAATGGCTGCACGGCGGTTCTTCAACGCCGAGCCAACCTCCTACCAAGCTGCCAAGCTCTTACACCAATACCGGCAGCGGTGGTCGGGGGCTCTTCAACGTGGGCAGTCGATTGGGTACCTGGAAAAGTGCAGCATAGCAGCAGCGGTTGAAAACCCGCTACTAGAGGCAATGGGTGAGGCACCGTCCCTTGGGGACTGCCTCTCGAATCTGTATTTGATCTTACTTGGAGGGTGTTGGGCTGCGGAGTGAATAGGAATTGTACTCTATTAGCCCCACGTACGTGATGACCCATACCTTGCATGTCTGTATACCTTGAATATCAATGAACGGGCCATTAGAGAGAGAGAGAGAGAGAGAGAGAGAGAGAGAGAGAGAGAGAGAGAGAGAGAGAGAGAGAGAGAGAGAGAGAGAGAGAGAGAGAGAGAGAGATTTCAATAAACTACGGCTTTAATCACCTACGGCTTTCAACAAATCAAAACGACGTAGCATCTTGGGTTGTTGCCCTTGCATAGAGACATGAGCAGATACATGAATACGACATAATGCTACAACATAAATTAAGCAAAGAAACAAAGACAGACAATAACAAGAAAAATTTGTTAAGGTCTTCTACTGAGTGTTCCACTCGGATTTGCAAAAAATATTACTGTCAAAAAGCTTGAATAAGACGGACAACTTTTCTGCAGGCTCTAAGCTTTCTCACGACACTTAATACGATTAGGGATATGCGAAAAGAAGAAACGAAAGGAAAGATTAGATGAAGAGACAACACCAAAAAAATCTTGGTTAAAATAAGGAGATGAGAACTTGAGTAGGGAGATACAAAGATAGGCGGACAAGAGAAAGAGGTGGACGGACGAGGAGGGGGGGGACGAGCAAGAAAGCTGGACAAGAAGAGAGACGCCATGATGCTCTGTAATCTACATAGTAATAATAGAACTTCATCTAAAATGACCTACCATGATTTACTTCTGTGAAAATCTAGAGAAGATCGTAGACATTATCTTGACTGTAGTGCGTAAACTACTATCTAGTCCCTATAGAGCTCACCTTAGAAGCTGGAGTACAAGTAGGTGAAGGAACTGCGGGGAGGAGCTGGGAGTAACGGAAGTGATTGGAGTGGCACGACGACACCAGCGAGAAAGAGATTCACAAACCCTAGATGCTATTGATTTTTGTCAAAATTATTATTAATGTTGTTGTCACGAACATCTGAATTTACAACTTGTTTGACAAAACTATATTGTAGGTTGTAGTGGGGTAGACAATATGGGATACAACTCTTTTAGGTTTTCATACTTGTACCCACCTGCTTGCTAGTTCATTCATTCCTCATTCTTATTTTCACATGGTATCAGAGCAAAATCGTTCCTAGGGCCCACCGAACGTTCTGCCCTGCCCTAACTGATTCTTTTTAGCTGCCCCTGCAGCCGCACTGCCCTTGCAACTCGCGTGCTGCCCCTACGACCGTGCTGCCCCTGCAGCCGTGCCTGCCCCTGCAGCTGTCCCTGCTCGTCGCGGCGCCCCCTGGGCGCGGTCCCTGCTCGTCGCGGCGCCCTTTGGGCGCCGTCCCTGCTCGTCGCGGCGCCCCCTGGGCGCCGTCCCTGCTCGTCGCGGCGCCCCCAGGGCGTCGCCCCTGCTCGTCTCGGCGCCCCCTTGGCGCCGTCCCTGCTCGTCGCGGCGCCCCCGGGGCGTCGCCCCTGCTCGTCGCGGCGCCCCCGGGGCGTCGCCCCTGCTCGTCGCAGCGCCCCCGGGGCGTCGCCTCTGCTCGTCGCGGCGCCCCCGGGGCGTCGCCCCTGCTCGTCGCGGCGCCCCCTCAGCAGCTGCCTTGGAGCCTCCTGCAGCAGTCGCGGCCCCGCCCTGCAGCAGCTGCCACGGAGCCCCCTGCCGCCGTCGCGGCCCCGCCCTACAGCAGCTGCCGCGGAGCTGCCTGCAGAAGTCGCGACCCCGCCCTGCAGCAGCTGCCACAGAGCCCTCTGCCGCCGTCGCGGCCCCGCCCCGCTGCAGCTGCCGCGGAGCCGCCTGCAGCAGTTGCGGCCACGCCCTGCAGCAGCTGCCGCGTAGCCCCCTGCCGCTGTCGCGGCCCCGCCCTGCAGCTATCGCGGCCCCGCCGTCGCCGCTGTCGTGCGCCTACCCTGCTCGCCCGGCGAGCGACTGCCCTTCCCGCCACTGGTGAGCACTTGCCCTACCCGCGCTTCCCGCGCGCCTGCCTTACTAGAGTGCTGCCGCGCCGGCCTGCCTGCCTGCCTCCCGCGCCTGCCTGCCAGCCGAGCCGCGCCGACCAGTTGAGCCGAGCTGCTCAGCGGCGCCGAGCCGCCCAACCGAGCCGTGTCGTGCTGCCGGGCTGTGCAGCCCTGCTCTACTGAGCCACACTGCCCTGCGCGTGCTGCTACTGCTGTTTCTGCTGCTACTACTGCTGCTACTGCAACTATTGCTACTGCTCCTCCTGGTGGTAGCCAGATGTAGCTCCAGCGAAGTTCGCGTGAATCCCTCACGCCCCAGCAGCTTCGTGAGTGGTACGCTAGTTGGGGTTATAGGGGTGGCGGCGGTGCTACTGCTGCTACTACTGTTATTGCTGCTACTACTGCTACTGTTGCTATTGCTGCTACTGGTACTACTATTGCTACTGCTGCTATTGCGGCTACTACCGCTACTGCTGCTCCTGGCGGTGGCCAGATGCAGCTCCAGCGACGTCCGCGTGAGTCCCTCACGCCCCAGCGACTTCGTGAGTGGTACGCTAGTTGGGGTTGTAGGGGTGGCCGTGGTGGGAGTCACCCTGGGGCGGGTCGTTCGGGAGCTTCTTGTAGTGACTAGGTGCAACTGCAGCAGCGTCCGCGCGCGGTTTTTTCGCCCCAGTAGCTTCGTGAGTGGTACGCTTAGAGTAGAGGGTCACGGAGTACTGCTCGCTGCCCGTACGTCATTCGCACTGGTGCCCGGGCTGGTCAGCCTTGAGGGACGGTTGGCCACACAGAGTCCCGCTGCTTCGCCAGTCAGAGCGACGCATGGCGTACAGAGTTTGACGACGTTGCTGAGCTCCCTTCCTGGCTGGAGCTGCTTAGGCAGAGGGTAGATATCTTTGCTCTTGACTATGATGCTATCCTCACTGCCATGTATGCATTGCCTACTAGTGCTGAGGGTGCCAGTTACCTGTGTGTGCCGCCTGACCCAGGTATAGAGTCTGCTGCTCTAGGTGCTGGTGAGGCTGCTGCTCTAGGTGCTGGTGCGTCTCCTGCTCCAGGTGCTGGTGAGGCTGCTGCTCTAGGCGCTAGTGAGTCCACTGCTCCAGGTGCTGGTGCGTCTGCTCTCTCTGGTACTGCGCCTGCTACGGCCTTGCACACTTTCACCCTTGACTCGGGTGCTTCCGGCTCCTTCTTTGGCGACTGCACCACACTCTCGCCACTCAGTCGGCTAGTGGGAGTCTCTCTTGCTGACCCCTCTGGGGGTCCGGTCCTTGCACACTCCTCCACGGTTTTGTCGTGTCCGGCGGTCTCGTCTGGCTCTCTGTCTGGCCTCCACCTCCCCTCGTTCTCCATGAACTTGGTGAGTGGAGCTGACCTTCAAGATGCGTGGGCTGACCAGTTCACTCCTAGAGGTCTGCGGGTGACCCACTGTTCGTGTACTCGGACGGGCCGGCACCTGGCCGCGTGGAGCTGTGCTGCTTGAGCTGGTGGTTCTCCGAGCGCCGGAGGCCCTGCTGCTGCTGGAGCTGCTTGGGTTTCTGGGGCCACGGGTCACGGAGGTCCTCGTACTAGAGGTACCGGGGCTGCTGGGCCTGGTGGTGCTGCTGGAGCTGGAGCTGCTGGAGGTGCTGGAGCTGGCGGTGCTGCTGGGGCAGGTGCTGCTGGAGGTACTGGAGCTGGAGCTGCTGGCGCTGCTGGGGCTTCTGGTGGTCCTGCTGGAGCTGGAGCTGCTGAAGGTGCTGGAGCTGGAGGTGCTGCTAGAGCCGATGCTCCTGTGGAAGCTGGAGTTGGCGCTTCTGGTGCTGCTGGAGGCTGGAGCTTGTGGTACTGCTGGAGTTGGAGCTGCCACTAGGGATGCTGGTTCTATCCCATCTAGTTCTGGAGGCGCTGCGCGGCCGCGGCCGTACTACGTTCCGCTCCTTCAACGGGTTCTTGGTCTTCCGCCTTCTAGTGGTCCTGCTCCTTCCTTAGGGCGTCCACCGCCTGTCCAGTTGCAGTCATAGTTACAACCTGCCTCCCCACTGCCTGCTCCTTCTCCTTACACTGGTCTGACCGGAGGTCCTGCTGAGCGTCATGAGCCTGTGTCTCGTCCTGCGTCGCCTGTTCGTGCTGCTAGCACTAGTCGTCGTGGTTCGCGTCAGCGTCCTCCTCCTGTCCCTGGCACGCAACGGATAGCTCTGCGCCCTTCCACTGCTCCATAGCGTGTCTCTCTGCCGTCCTCTCTTCCTGCCCCTTCTGACCCGGAGTCAGACTCCCTTCGTACTGCTAGTCGTACTGTCACGCGTCTCGTGGCCACTGTTGTCATTGACCCTGCCTTTGAGTCCATTGCTGCGTCTGCCTTAGTTGCCGAGCTTGTCGACTTTGCTGCTCACTGTCGTCTGGACTACGCCGCTAGTCTTGTTGCTGAGTCTGAGTCTGTCTGTCCTCCGTCCGTCGGGGGTGAGTGTGCTCTTGGCACGTACGTCCGTGAGGACAGGCACGAGGACTTTGAGTGCTTTGCAGCCGCGGTACCTCATCTCGTGTCCATGCTGATTGCACCTGAGGGAGACCCGGATGCACTAGACATCCCGACCCCGCGCTCTTACGCAGAGGCGATAGAGGGTCCCTACTCCTCTCACTAGCAGTCAGCCATGGATGCAGAGATGGCATTCTGGAAGTCTACAGGCAGTTATGTCAACGAGGTTCCCCCTCCTGGGCGAACATCGTCAGTGGCATGTGGATTTTTAGGGTGAAGCGGCCGCCGGGTTCTCCGCCTGTCTTCAAGGCGTGTTACGTTGCTCGAGGCTTCAGTCAGCGACAGGGACTTGACTTCTTCCAGACCTTCTCCCCGACCCTGAAGATGACCACTCTTCAGGTTCTACTGCACGTCGCTGCTCAGCGTGACTACGAGCTTCACTCTCTTGACTTCAGCACTGCTTTCCTACAGGGCAGCCTATACGAGGAGATCTGGCTGCGCTGCCCACCTGGCTTCATTGGGTCGTTTCCTCCTGGTACCCAGTGGAGCCTCCGGCGGTCAGTCTACGGTCTCCGCCAGGCGTCCCGTAAGTGGCACCACACACTAAGGACTACACTTGCGGCTCTTGGGTTTGTTCCTTCTACTGCTGACCCGTCGCTGTTTCTGGGAACCGACACTTCTTTGCCGCCGTTCTACATCCTCATGCACGTTGACGACTTGGTCTTTGCCACTGCTGACACTGAGGGACTCGCCCACGTGAAGTCAGAGCTGCAGAAGAGACACACGTGCACAGACTTGGGTGAACTGCACGGCTACCTTGGCTTGCAGATCACCCAGGACAGAGCACAGCGCACCATTACCCTGACTCAGTCACACATGGTGCAGCAGGTTTTTCAGCGCTTCGACTTCAGGTACTCCTTGCCTCAGGCCACTCCTCTGTCTACTCGCCACTCGCTCTCAGCTCTGCCTTCGGATGAGTCCGTAGAGCCAAGTGGCCCGTACCCAGAGCTTGTTGGCTGCCTCATGTACCTGATGACCTGCTCTCGACCTGACTTGGCATACCCTCTTAGCATCTTGGCACGCTATGTTGCTCCTTGGAGACACCTGTGAGGAGAATGAACAGGAAAGGAATGGACTATGAAAGAGATGGGTTCAAATATGAAACCCTAGAAGGGGCTGTACCCCATATTGGCTACCCCACTACAGCCTAAACATATATGGCATATATACAATTTGACACACCCCCATAGGCAAAGTGGGGGAGAACAAGGGGTCACAAGACCAGTCAAGAGAAGCAAAGCAAGCTCAGGGTGGATCACAATGTCACCATACAATCTGAGCACAAGCAAAGGGCCACAAGGCCAGTCCACATGTAGAGGTACATATATGCAAAGGCAACAGCAAAGTGATCACTACCTAACAAGTGCAGGTATACAATATAGATCACAGTACAGGCAAGGTCAAGAAGTAAGTGAGAAGACATAGGAACAAGGCCAAGTGCAGTACAGAAGCGCTGATGGTCACGAGGCGGAAGTGCCTTGGTGAACACACCAGCAGTGTTGGCCTGAGAGGCCACGTAGGCAAGATGAATCCAACCACGCTACTGGAGCTCCCTAGCAAGGAAGTAGCGAAGGGCGATGTGCTTCGTTCTGTGCTCCAATCTCTGTTCGCGACACAAGGCAAGCATTGCCTTGTTATCGACGTACAGAAATGGAGGAGAACAAGGCGCCTCGCCCAGGTCGGTCAGAAGGTAGGTGAGCCAACACAGCTCCTGTGTAGCCGTGGCCCCTGCGTAGATCTCAGCCTTACAACAGGAGCTGAGAACAGAAGAAGAGCGGGTAGACCGCCAAGAGACAGAACTAGAGCCAAGGCTAAAGGTCTAACCCTGTGACGACCGCTGCGTAGCCAAGTCGTCAACCCAAGAAGCGTTTGCGTGACCAGTGAGGACAACTGGACCCCGTCCTCCAAGCACGAGCCCTGTCACAGGATCGAATTCTCAATCGAAACTTGTCACCAAAACTGAATACAAGGCCTTTTTATACTCAGAAAATACAAGGATAAATGAGATAAAACGAACCTTCGGGAACACGCCCTTCCCGATGCTACAATCACAAGTGCGCATAAGCACGCAAGTCTATTGGCACTTGGGATTACGCCCAGATTACGGCGTATACACCACTATCGGCGCTGTCGGTGCCGTATAATAGGTATGTCGGTGGGAAAAGTAGGAAATAAGAGAATTAAATAGAAGGCTCTAGAAAATAGAATAGTAGGCTGATTGAGATGAGATAAAGACGAAAATAAAGAGGAGAAAAGGGAGAATAGGATAACGGAAAAATATAATAGTGAGGAAATATTATAACGGGGACGTCCTCTCACACTTCCCCCCCTCAAAGCTGGGTGGTAGAAGTAACACCCTGCTTGACAAGGTAGTCCTGGAGAGGACGGCGGGCGTTATCCATGTCGTGTTCAGGTACCCAGGTATCCTTGGAAGGATCATAGCCTTTCCAACGAATCAAGAGCTCCAAGGTGCCGCTACGTCGTCGTCGGTGCGCCAGAACGGCTTCAACTTCGTACTCGGGTTCCCCATTAACGATCACTGGCAGTGGCGGCGGCGGCTGGCGACCTTTGAAGACCGTGTTTGGGTCCCGATAGGGCTTGAGAAGTTGAACATGGAAGGCATCGTGAATTCTCCATGTAGCTGGTAAATGCAAGCGGAAGGTTACTGGAGTGACCTGCGCCTCGACAAGAAAAGGTCCGCAGAAGTGAGGTCGGAGCTTAGACGGAAGATGGCTAATGTCGAGATTGCGTGTATCCAGAAGCACTTGATCGCCAATCTTGATGGAATGATCGTTGCGACTCCGATCAGCGAGCTTCTTTTGTTGCTGCTGGATAGTCAGAAGACGTTTATGCGTGCGCTCCCACAATTGGTGCATAGTGGAAATGAAGTCATGTGCGGGTTGCACCGTGGCGGGTACTGTTGGTTTCTGAGGCGTGAGTGGGTTGCGACCGTAACAGAGGAAGAAAGGAGTTTGCCCTGTTGCGGCGTGCGTGGCGTTGTTATACGCAAACTCGAGAATCGGCAGATGTGCATCCCATTTAGAGATATCGTCCTTACACGCTGCTCGCAGAAGCTGTTCAACAATCTGGTTGAGGCGCTCTGTCTGACCATCCGTTTGGGGATGATAAGCTGATGACATGGCGAGTTTGGTCCCCATGAGCGACATGAGCTCCTTCCAGAATTTATTCGTGAATTTCGGGTCTCTGTCGGAGATCAGCGTGGTTGGAATGCCATGTTGCAAGATGACGTAGCGGAAGAATAATTACGCTGTCTCCTCGGTGCGAGCCGTTGTGTGTGTCGGAATGAAGTGTCCCATTTTGGAGAATTTGTCGATGACGACTAGAATGGCGTCGTAACCAGCTTTGGTAGGTGGTAACCCGGTGATGAAGTCGAGGCTAACCACTTGCCAAGGTTGTTCAGGGACTGGAAGAGGTTGTAGTAATCCTGCTTTCTTCTGTTTGCTGCTCTTCATCCGTTGGCATGTGTCGCACGAGGTGACGAATTTTTGTACGTCATCCGCCATGTGGGGCCAATAATAATGCTTCGCAATACCGGCAAGCGTCTTGTTACTACCGAAGTGGCCCGCGTAGAGAACATCATGATATTCTTCGAGCAGTAACTGGCGTAAGGGAGGGTAATTAGGTACCCATATTTTTGTGGAGCCCTTGCGGTATGCGATGTCTTGATCCCAATAAAGAAGATGGCGCTTTTCTGCTACAGAGACTTCGGGGTCGATGGTGTATCCATGCGTGAAGAGTCCCTTCAAAAGTGGGTTCATGCCATCGACTTGTAAGGCGGCAACGTGTGCAGGGCGACTCAGTGCGTCTGCCTTGTTCTTGTGCCCTGGCTTATACACGATGTCGTAATGGAAGTGGGTTTCGAGAAAGTCAATCCACCGGACCTGCCGCCTGGAGAGTGTTGGTTGGGTCTTCAGGTACTTGAGGCTGCAGTGGTCGGTGTAGACGGTCGTTTTTCTTCCTTCGAGATAACACCTCCATGCCTTAAATGCGTTGACAATGGCGAGGGCCTCTTTGTCATGGATGGGGTAATTGAGTTCTGCCCCGTGAAGTTTTTTACTGAGGTATGCAATGGGTTGCAGTCCCTTCCCTTGATGCTGCATGAGTACTGCGCCCACTGCTTGATCGCTAGCATCGGCCTCGATGACATAGTCAAGTTCAGGGTCTGGCAGGATAAGGACAGGTGTGGACGTGAGTGCGGTTTTAAGTTGTTCCACGGCTTCCTGGTGCTTCGCCTCCCATTGATTTTGTGTATTCTTCTTCAACAGGTTCGTTAACGGTGCGGCAATCTTGGCGTAGTTCGGTACGAACCGGTTGTTTTAGTTGGCGAATCCAAGGAACTGTTGTAACTCCTTCACGTTCTCAGGGGTCTTCCACGTTCGCACTGCTTCGATCTTCTTAGGATCCACGTGAACTCCTTGAGCGCTCACCATATGTCCAAGGAACTGAACTTTTTTCAACGCAAACTAGCTCTTGGATAGTTTCACGTAGAAGCGTTCTCGTCGAAGAATTTCAAACACCCGTCGTAGATGCTCAACGTGCTGCTTCATATCTTTCGAGTAGATCAGGATATCGTCTAAATATACCACCACGCACTCGTCCAGAAGGGGCCGAAGGATGTGGTTCATTTCCGCCTGAAATGTGGCTGGTGCGTTAGTGAGTCCGAATGGCATTACGAGATACTCGTATGACCCGTACCGAGTTCGGAAGGCGGTTTTGTGGATAGAGTTGTCCGCCATACGAATTTGCCAGTATCCCGATCTGAGGTCGAGCTTGGAGAATACCGTAGCACCGCGAAGTTGATCGAGTAAGTCGTCGATCAGTGGTATCGGGTATTTATTTTTTACTGTCTGCTTGTTCAAGGCTCGGTAGTCGATGCACATTCGCAGACTTCCGTCTGGCTTCGGAGTGAAGAGGACTGGAGCTCCGTACGGCGAAGTTGAAGGTCGAATCAGTCCTTTCTCCAGGAGATACTCTATTTGTTTTTTCATATCGGTAAGCTCTGTCGGGCTCAGCCGGTATGGTGCTCGGAACGTTGGCTTGGACCCCGGCTCTTCTACGATCTCGTGTTGATGTGTCCGGTATGGC